CTTCACTTCTCTTTGGGAGATTTGTTGCACCTTCAGTGTTCCAGACTGGACTGTGCTTTAGTGTACATGAGCATGGCCAGGGAGAAGGGCAAGCAGACAAGTCCAACAGCTCTTCTGGGACACACACCACCAGTCATCTGCTGAGCATCACAGGCTTTGAAAGCTGAGGCAAACCCTACACTGGGTTCAAATGCTGGGGAGGGAGAGATTTGCACAGCCAACTCTGCCATAGGGTCTGCTGCAGGTGAAGGATGGCTGTATGGCTGCAGCAACATGTTGAGCCATGTGGCTTCTGGAAAAAGACCTGCCACAAGCTAAGAAAGCTTTAATACTTGGAGGCATGGTGTGGAATTTTGGGTCAGTGGACTGATGGGGATTCTTGTGAGAGAGTGTGCTCCGGGATGGGTTTGTATGAGGAGAAGCACATTTGCATGATGATAATGGATGGATCTAGGTGATGACAGATGGTCTTCTCCAGAATTTGCTCTTCCAGACAGGCTGGCTCCTTTCTGTAGTGAAACTGAGGTATGGTGACTCTGCTGTTAGTGCAGAGGTCTGAGCGAGCTATCAGATATAGGATTTCCAGAAGCCCCCCACCCATCTCATCTCCATCCAGGTGTCTCCAAGAAGACTAGGAGTTCCTGAACTTTCTCTTGGGCTGCCCAGCCTGGCTCTTTCAGGGTCCTGCACCTTGGGGAAGCTCTGGGCAGGATTCATCCTCATCAACCCATGGGCCAGTTGGTAGGGGGAAGGACACGTCCATGGAGGTAAGATTTGGATCTTCAAGGGGCTGTTGAAGTTATTCTTCACAAGAACCTCTTGGCTTTGGTTCCAGAGGAAGCTATATGTGAGCAGAGTTTGCTGCTCTTACATTCCCAAAGCCACCCAGATGAAAATGCCCACTTTGACCGAAGCTGCCCTTTGCTTTAAATGTGCAGACAGATGGTGGCCAAAGGTCTCAGTGGAGGTAAGTCACCCTAAGTCTGCTCCTTCTCTTGCAGTGTAGTCCCACATCTTTGGACATCAACTTTTCCTCATTCCTACCCACCACTGCTTGAGGATCTTGCTTCTTGGGGAATGGGGAAATCCTATTCAGTTATGGAGAAAAAAGGGATTTTGATTTCTATAGTACAGGGTCTGGGCTTCCCTCTCTCTGGTGCTGGGCCCTCATTTCAGGTTACTGGAGCAAAGACATGACTGGTGCAGATCTTGGTGGAATGCCAGGACTGTGCTGACAACTTTTCCAGAAAAATTTTGCTGCTTTTTCTTGTAGTCCTAGAAGCTACACAGTAACCCTGGCTGTGAATATTTTTTGAAAAATAGATTGGCTCCACAGGATACATAAAAGCTTGAAAAGTCAGTGAACCTCTTTTCACCCCCCTAGGTTTGGAGAAAGCACCAAAAATTAGCACAATTACAGTTAAATCTTGAGATTTCTTTAAGAAGCAGATTTCAGGAATCTGACAAACACCAACCTGCAGCTGGATGCAGTGGACTTACTGGCTTTTCTCCTTAACATTTAAATCTCATTGAACTGGGAAGGTTGCCTGCCAGGTGTGTCTGGCAAAGCTCTGAAATATTGATTTTCAGTGTGTCGGTATTAAAAGCAAAACATTTCTTTCATGTCCCCAGACACTGTATCAGAGCCCACAGTGGCTTGCCGGGTATTTCTGTGCATGGTGGCAGTGGAGACAATAGAACATCCTGTGAAGTAACAGACTTAGCAAAACACCAAAGAGAAAATTGTGAAAAACACACTTCTCTGTTCCTTTTTTTTAAACAAAGACTTTTGGTTAGAAACACAAATATACTGCATCTGAAAAGGCTTTCTCTTGTGATTTGGCTTCTTTTTAATCCTCAAACCATTTAAAGTTCCACTCCCCTCCCTCAAACCCTGTTGAAGCTTGATGTGGGAGAACACAGGCTTTTTTCCCTACTGCTTTCAGTCACTGTCTGACATATTCTGAATGTGCCTTGATGTGTCCGCTGCTTTTAATATTGCTGGCTAAAAAAGAACACTAGATTTGTTTCCTCCTACTGACACACATATTTTTTATTTCTGTAGAAAAATATTGCTGTATTTTGCAGGGGGATTATATGGGAGAGCAATGTAAAAACCTCCATAAAGTCACTGTTTGGTGCTGATTTAGTAAATTGGTTTTACTATGGCATTGCATACATTGCATATTCATAGATTGGGGCATCTTGCATGCTAAGTATTGGGCTAGTAGACCTTGATACTTGTAAGCAATAGGCTTGTTCCTGCAGTTGTGGCTTTGAAGTCAGTGGAAACTTTATTTCTTCTCTTAAATTTATTAGTGCCTGTCTCCAGTGCTCTCTGGGACACAGCACCACTGGAAGTATAGCCTAAGAAATGGGACTTGGTATTGAGGTGCTCCAGCCTACACAAACAAAATCACTTTTTTTTTTTTTTTTTTTTTAGGGATGCATAATGCCTACATCAGGATGAGAAACATCCTTCTACCAACATACACGTCCCCTGTATTTTGGCACATGCAACTTCCTTTGCTACTGCCTGGCCTAGGTCCATGTTCAGTCTTGCTATATTTATATATTTAAAGTTTATTGCATATCTCTCAAAGCTGGCTGAATTCTGTTGGTGGGAGACATACTTCCTTCAATGTCTTCTAAGTTTATGGCTGCAGCACCAGCATTTTAATAGGTTTGGGAATGGATGATGCTCTGTGAAGAGATGATCTGCCAGCAGTTCAGAGGAGGTATTGATCAGCCACATTGCCCACTTATGCAGACTTTGCTGGGGTATCAGTATCAAAACAGGAAACGATGTGAGAAATGTTAATGAAACTTGACAACAACAACTCAAAAGGTGTTTGATCCCCCATTTGACTGTACATAACTATTACAGGATGAGGAAACAGGAAATACACTGAGGGGGAGGAGATAAGAACAGAGAACTGTAAAAAGAATAAAAATACTGAACTTGAAAAATTCCAAGTCACCTTTTCTAAGTCAGCTGGCATGCACGAGGCATTCGTCACAGCACACAGCTCCTCATTTAGGCATTATGCACATAAAACCCAAGAAGCCCAAACTGAGATCCTTCAGCAATAATTTTTATCATCTCACTGATTGTGAGACCAAGTTAATGCCAAAAAGAAAAACTCCAATGAAAATATAAAAAACAACCCAACCCAGCCCTGAAACTTATTTGCCAGAAAGGGTTTTAAAATTTTCAAAACCAAATCATGTCTCTGTGGTTCCTGTTTCTTCTGAATCTGCATTTGCCTACAGCTTCAATTAAATAAATACCACAGCGCTATTCTTGTTCAGGAGTATTGTTATTTTGTGATGACTTTTTTCTCTTCTTAAATCCCCTGCCCACCACCCCACATTTTGCCATAAGACTAACACATAAGCTAAAACTGAGCCAGGAAGAAAAAAACCAAAAAGAGCACATACCCTCTGTTCTCCTGCTGTGTTTTATGGCGGTAGGTTCTCTGCTTTCTTCTTGTCAAATTCCCTACTAATCCACTCCAAAGTGTTACTCAATGAAGCCTAGAAAATGTGTTAATTTGAAAGAAATGTCGGGGGGGAGGCGACAAGGGGAAATAGATTTGGATGTAAGAACAGCAAATGCTTCCCTGATGTCACCTTTTATTTACAGCACTGAAAGCATTTTGACCACATAAAGTCACCAGTTACAGTTTTTAGACAAAGAAATTGGGCTCCAGAGTTGATACTTGGTAATTAGTAAACTAATTGTGGAGTTCAGGTCTGCTGATTCTTAGCCTCTGGTCCAAGTCCATTGGATGATACAATTTCCTGTTTGAATTACTCTGAAAGGAACCATTTCTAAAGTGCAGGATACCCACTAAGGTCCTTAAAATGCCCTTTGAACTTTGGAAAACAGGGAACACTAGTTACAGATCACATACTTCCTTCTGGTCTTGAGCAGTCTGATGGGGCTTTGTGTCCTCATGGGAGAGGACAGAGAGGAGATGCCACTGTGGGATGAAGGCAAGGAAAGAAGGAATGGCCTGTGGACCAAGAATAAGAACTTCCAAGGTGTAGGAACAAGGCAGATTGCTAAATGTTTTCTGATTCTTGGGGCCTATTGCTTTTAGTCTTAAAAGTGCCCCTCCCTTGGGGCCATTATATCATCGCCTGGCATTCCATGAACTTCCTCCAAAATTCTTTCATGTCCTTCTATGTTAGAGACAAATATGCATTTTCTCCTAAGTGGAGTGAAAAACCGCCTGTACATTGACCTGCCATCCTGGAGACAGTGTGGCTGGTGATGAGTCTCCTTTTCATCATCTCCCAAAGGCAGGAAAGATAATTCAGTCACCTATTATGAAACAGGCTTTTTATAGAAGATGATTTCTCTCTGACTCTGTCTTCTCATGTGTGATTAACTATTCTTTGGGTAGGGATAATGAAAATAAAGTAAACATGTGGCTGATGTAATATCATGAGGCCTTTCTTTAAGACTGACTGAAAGTGTTGAGAGCACTCCCACTAATCTCTTTTTTGAAAAGCAAAGAGAGCTATATCCAGTTTGACTAATGAGTCATATTTCACTCTCCTGGTCCAGTTCATCAGTTTCCAGCTTACTTCACAATGCCTGTACTTTTCTGACCACTTACTTGCTATGGGCAAAATGTGTTTGTGGGTGCCTTGGAAAGACATTGGGAACTGAGAAATGTCCTTAACACTGTGTGTCCTCGTGGGCTCTTAGAGGGAAGCCTTGTTGGTTGATTTAGGAAAGATATAAAAAGCTTAAGTGCAAGTGGGTTCCATGCCAGCAGAATGGAGGCAGTCACTGGTGCTGGGAGCAAGAGGAAAGGGCTGGTGTGGAGTAACAAGAGGTAAGGTGTGGAGAGTGATGACACATGCAAGATGCAGGCTGAGGTAATTCTTTCTAGTTATCCTTGGTCCTCCATTTTTATCTTGGTTCTTTCCCAGCAGCGGTCACTTCTTTGAAATTATTTTCCTCTTTTTTTTTTTTTTTTTTTCAGATAAAAAGCTGCAGTGGAGGCCAGCAGTCTCAGGAGGACCGTCTGCTGCTTTCTTTGTAGACAGAGGGACTTTCTACCTTGGATGAATGATTTATGAAATAAACGAGCCCAAACCCCACCAAAGAAAGCTGTGAAAAAGCTCCAAGGGTAAATTGGGTTTTTTGAATGGGAGCAATAAAGAATATTTAGCAAGAGGGACCTTCTATGAACACTTTCCTCTTCTTGCTCATCTGTTCATTAGAAAACAAAAGTAGATGTAAATGAGCTCACAGAGCACTGGTTGAGGTAAAGGCAGGACATAGATGAGCAATTGGCAGAGAGAAGAGGAAAATTCTGGGGGAGGTGAACAACCTGCAAGGCTTTGAGCAACACAGGCTATGTTTGGGGAGGTGCAGAATGTAATTTGTGCCCATCCTATTACCAAGGTCAGCTAAAGAGGTAGCAGTGGAATATAATTTTCAACAGTGTACAAGGCCTTAGGGAGTGTAAAAGCCAACCCCATGGCATGATATGAAATATAAACCACTGACTAATGGAGACCTTGACCTTAACCATCTCTTTTAGTGTCAAAAACCACATTGCAGTGAACCCCTGGCTGTGCTGGCCTGGTGCAAACCATCGGAGGGAGCACATGGCTCTAATGAGTTGACACAGGCAGAAGAGACCCAAGTATTAAGGCAATCTTCCCCTGTTCTGCTGGCTACTGCTCAGGAACAGAATGCAAAAAGAGTCAAGGTGCAGGATAAGCCTGGGAAAAATCCAATGCAAGTGTGAAATTCTCATGTGAGAGAACAGCAACTGATACAGTCTTCTCAGAGGCTTCAGACTTGCATTTAGGGAGAAGGAAGCTGGTGGTGCCTGGCAATGTCTCCTCAGGTGCCAGGGGCCTCCATATGCTGCAAGTGCAACTTCTCTCCTTCCTTTCAGAGCCAGCACCACCTGGACTGCACTGTCTGGGATGGCAGTGTGTCACCTGGCTGGGCTGGCTGGTGGCCTGGTGTGAGACAGCAGCTCTTTGTTCCTGTGCAGAAACAGGTCACTGTGGTTAACCATGCTGACTCCTTTAGGTGCAAACAGTTCTTCCTGAGCTTGTGTGTATTGATCTCCTCTGTCACATCAACAGGACGGTACGCAGGAGGAGAGATACGCTGACTTCAGTCATCCCAACTTCTGACAAAATCCTGCATCAGGAAGATCTGTGGGTACAGGAGTGAGAAGTTGCTACAGGCAGGCATTGACATGTGGCAATAAATGGCCACTTGATAGACAGCAAATGATGGGGCTCAAGAAGTGCCCTGTTCTGTGTAGGGCATGCCTTGGGGTGGGGGCAATATAAATGGGCAAAAAAGAAAGAAATTTTTTGAGAGGTTATGTCATTACCAGATCTTTTCAACAGCTCCATGAGATGCCTGTGCTGCCCCACATATTTTAACCAGAAGAGCCATAAGCAAACTGTGCCTTAGACTCTGTAGACAAACACAAGGTGCTACAAGACCCTTCTGGTAACAGAGCTCCAACAGCCTCTGTTCTCCACAGCCACAGAAAATACCTGGCAGGCAAAAGGAGGTGAGGAGGCCTGGGATATGCAGCATCCTGCTGAAGCTCCAGACAGCCAGGAGAGGTGACAGTGAAGCAGGGTATGGTGTCTGTGGTCAGTCAGCTCCAAGAGGCTCTGCAGTTAATGCTGCCAGAACACCTGTGGAGATAGGGAAGGAAAGCACAGTGACAGCACTCTGAAGGTCTGGTGTCATACATCAGTGCAGAAGTGCCACCAAGATGAGTATTGGGCCTTGTCACACTTAGCAAAAGTGTAAAAACTGATTTAGTAGAATTCTTTTACGTAGCTCTTTCTCAGCAGTTATATTAATCTTGCAAGAAAGACCTATAGAGGTAAGCATTCCCACTATCTACTTCTAGAATAAAGGCACTTAAAATTTTTGTTTCCAGACTTATGAAGGACAAGTTTTATGCCAACAATTAAATTGTGAAATACTCTGAAGATTTAGGAAACTCTAACAGGAACAAGCACTGTACATTTTGTCCATTTTTAGGACAAAATGTTTTTCCTGGAATAAAGCGATTTCCTGGAATAGTCTCTGTTTTATACCGATACAGCCATTTGATTGTTTCTGTGTGATGAGGAACTTGCATCTCTGAATCAGGAGCGCAGATGTCTGGGTGAAGTTGCTGAAAAGCCATCAATATCTGTGTAAAAACCCATGGATTGGAAAAGTAAGCAACTGATTGATAAAATTTGTTGAACTAGTGTTTTGCCTGTGACCCTGATGATATGTGGTATAAATTATGCTGAAGACTAGAGTATCCTGCAAGACAGCTGCATTTTTTAATGCTTCTTGGAGAATAAATGTTCAGCTTGCCTGACTGGCCTGTGTCATGCTCTTCCCAGAAGCTGGGTCTCCCAAATTAGGGACAAAACCTGGCCACTGAAATTCAGTAATTTTCTGTTGAGCTGGGATATAAGAACCAATCTGATGCATTCTGGTCTTCTCCTGACCACTTTTTTTTCTAAACCTGTTGTTTTCTCATGCTATTTAATAAATATGATGCTTTACATCCCTGTGCCACTACATCTTGCAAATGATCACATGTAGTCCGTGGTTTAGTGCTGCATAGGAGAGGTAGCTGGCTCACCTATTCAGTGTTCCCTCATTCAGCTCTACAGAGGAGCTCTAGGGAGATTAACCCTCTGGATCTGACATGCAGGTTAGGCTTGAAAAGTGGGAACAAACTTTCCACTTTGTCGGGATGGATAGAGGACAGGAGAGCTCAGTGCATCCAGACCCATCACAGCCTCCATCAGCCAACCAGTCAGCACTCAACTCTAGGGCTTGCAGGTGTCTGTTACAGGGTATCTGTGCAATGTTAATTTCACAGTTTATTAGCTTGGAAATAAGTTATTCACCTGGATAAATTCCATATTATCTGTAGTTTTATTGTTTATGTTAGTGTATAACACTCCACAGCAATTCTGGAAGAAAAACAGCGGTGAAATAGCAAATGAAAATGTGGGAAATTCACTTTCTTGATGTGTACAGGAAATGGGTGAAGTCAGCATTGTACAAATAATGAGTGGATGAACTATACTTACCTCCATCTATGCTGCACTACTGAGCAGGGTGTTACTGTGTGGGCAGAAGTGATGAAAGGACTGGATCTCGTGAGGGAATGAAGAAAATACTGCAGAAAACTGGGGGCCAAGCCCTGCTTTCCTCTGCTCTAGCACCGGAGCACCTATTCATGGTTCAGGCAGCAGTGAGAACAGGATCTGTTGCAGAGTTTAATCTCACACCCTCTGCCCAGGGGAGAAGTGTGTGCACTGGACTGTGTTGTTTTGCTGGGGATGGGGGTGGATGTTGATGGTAGATGTGCTAAGTGTGATCATATTAGAGAGGGAAAAAGCCAAGACATGGGATGTATTCATGCAGGTGGAGGTGATGTGAACAGTGATGGTGCCCAGACCCTGGGAAAGCCCTGACACAGCTGTGGGAAATGTCAGGATCTGTCATGGACAAACTTCATCTTCACTACTGTGCCCTCTGAAGATGCTGAGGCCAAAGCTGGCCAGTGGGACAGCTGTCCAGGCTGCAGCATGGTGCTACTCACATCACTGAGCTGTCCTTGTAGGGGAACACAATATTTTTAGGCCAAAATATGTTCACTTTGTGTCCTTAAGTGGTCCAAGTCCCAGGCTGTGGACATTCCAGACCTGCATGAAAAATGGCAAACCCCACTAGAGACTATCTGGCTTATCTGTGTTCAACCTCTCTCTTCACAAACCCTCAAAGCTTTACCTTTTTTCTCCTTACAAAAGGGTATAATAAAACAATTCTGAGGGCTCAGATATCTTAAAGTTCACTTTTTTTTTTTAAGTTTTCTGCTTGCAATCAACAGAGAATTTTGCTGCGTAACCATCTCATACGAAGGAGTGGCTGGGCATTTGGTTGTCATATGGCTGCATTGTATAATCATAGAACATGTTACGGTTTGATGGATGAAGTCATTAAGAGCATAGTAATTAGTACCAGCTTGCTACTTTGAACTGCTGTGTGGTGTCACATATTCCTTGCAGTGAATTACATCTGTGCACACACACAGAATACAGCTTTCTAACCATCTGATGCCTCAGGCTTACATATTGTTACGCTGTATCCATCCAGAATATTTTTCATTCTGTTTCAAAAATATACACACAGCAAACCAGACAGCAGTCTGTAGCTTCCTACCTCCTAGAAACGACTTCTTTTTTTTTTTTTTTAAAAAAAGGAAAACTCCTAAAGGAGAATTTAGAGGTTTGACATGGCATCTGTCACAGGCTTGGCACAGGAAATGAAATCTTGCAGTGGAAAGGTGAAATTTTCTGCTGCCATGTGTAGGATCTTGAGCCAGAAATAATCCTGGTGTTCCTCATTTTGACTTGGCAGGGTGTGTGTGCAGTCTCTGAGGAGCAGCGAGTGGTGTGCAGCCTTTTACCTTTGGGACACTGGGATTTCAGTGATGATCTAGATGGAAATCCCAAATGGATGACAAAGGTTTTCACTGTGAGAGCAGAACACTTGCAGGAGTACAGAGGATGGGAAGACCAGCCTTGCAACAGGGACAAGTCCGATGGCTCATCATGTGAGCTGTTCACTGGTGGCCACATCTTCATTGTGCACTTCGCTGCAGCCTCCTCAGTTAACATCCACTTCCTGCCCATTTTCCTCTCTAAGCCCCTGCAGCTGACCTGGGGTGATCTCCACAGTGAACAGATATGTTTCCCTCCCCTCTTCTGCCCCACCACCAATGACCTAAAACAAGGTCTCTCCAGCGGGACCAACTCACTGTATTACACAGGAGACACATGTCCTTACATGGGGCTGCATCATCTTCCCCCTAGAGGACCTCACTAGGTGTGAAAAATCAAAATACGACTATTTTCAGCTGCAAATGATAGCTCTGGTTTGTGGCACAGCATGTTGGTGCCTCCTGGGAATTATGGTGTGGTTAAAGACATACTGCTGAAGCTATGATGTCTCACTTTTCCATTAGAGTCAGACAACCCTGCCATGCCACAGATCCCAGGGTGCCTTGGTGTCTCCCTACATTAAAAGTCACCTTACACTGGGGAAGAGGTGGCTTGAAATAGGTTAGCCCAACTCAGAGAGGATAATATTCAAAGTATACTGAATTTGAGCTGG